AGGTCAAGGCTTCCCTTTGACCACAACTAGGAGAGGTCCAATAGGATGCAGGGCCCTGTCATTAGCAGCCAGCTATTTGGGAAGGAGCTATGTCCAGGGGGCATACAGCAAGAGGGGCTCCTGCATAGTCCAGCCTGGCCAGGGTTGCCCAGACAGGAGGCAAACCATACCATAGAACTCATGGGCACCCAAGTCTAGGCTCTCACCAGAGGGAGCCTTGGGGTTCAGGGGAGCAAGTGACCCCACTTGTGCTGTGGTTCTTGGCAAGCCTGCCTCCTGTAGTGGAACTGGTTGAAGTTTTGAGCAAATAGAAAAGAAGACAGAGGAAGAGGAAGGCTGGCTGGCTCCAGAAGGCTTAGGACCAGAACACACACAGGGCAGGGCCTTTGTGCAGAAGCTGCCAGAGGGCAGGCAGCTGTGGTATAAATGTTGGCTGGTCTGCTCTCACTGGGAGAAAAGGGGATCTAGTGACCTTGTGTATCTCTTGGATCCAAACACCCCCTTGGTGGCCCTGCCTGGCAGACGGGGAGGGCTGTGGGATAGAGGTGGGAGTCTGTCCCACTGGGGAGGAAAGGGCAGGCCAAGGACAGGGAAGAGGACCAGTTAAAGACTCTGGCTAGAGAGGAATGGGCTGGGCTTAGAGGAGTCCACAGCACAGCTGGGGACTAAGACCTTGAGTGCTAAGCACTAAGAGCCATTATGGGTCCTTGAACAGGGAAGTGACCCAAGCAGACTTTTAGAGTGGTAGTCTGCTGCCAACTGGGGTGGCTTGATGGGGGCGGGGGGCAGCCATGGGGAGGGCGGGTGGAGGGGACTGGGGCTGATGTCCAGCACAGGCTGCGGAGTCCCTGGGCCGGGGTGGTTTGAAGTTGTGGAGGAAGCATAGCCTTGTAGCAGCCTTGTTCCTCTGGGGAGGAGAGTTGTATTTGGGGGGAAGGGGAGAGGTGTGGCCAGAGGTACCATTCAATATTCCAGTCTGGATCCTGAGCTGGGACTGGCTGGGACTGGCGAGGGTGTCCTGGGTGTACCAGCCTCAACCGGGGTTTGGTGCAGGGCCCCTTAGGGTGAGCCAGGGGGAGGGGCTGAGGACAGGAGTGGGCTTGCCTGGCGCTCCCTGGGGAGGGGGGTGGTAGGGAAGTCAGGCATAACTTTGCTCTTAATCACTGGGAGCATGTTCTTTTCCTTTGGTGGCCTCAGTGTGCCAGGGAGAGGCTGTGGCCTCAGCAACAGCGCAACACACACTCAGGTTAGAGTCTCTACCACCTGGGCCTCCAGCCTGCCCAGTGTCCCTCAGCCCCAGTCCTTGATGTGCATACCCCATTTGCTCCTACTGCCTCTGGGTGGAGTGCTGTGAGAACATGGGTTTGGAGGGCAGACTTGGGCTCACATAGAATGGACTGTCCTCTAGGAAATTGCCAGAAGAGGAGCCAAGTGCTCTTTCTGAGACCCTTGTGATCTTGAAGCAGAATGAGAAGGCCCAAGGCACTGAGAAGGGCCTCCTCTTCCTCAGGTTCTGCCACACTAGCCACTGTAGTCAGTATTACTGTGGAGAGACAAGTCTCATAGGGATGTTAAATGGAACCATACCTCTAGTGTGTAGCTCGGCATTCCCTGACAAACTCTGGTAAATGTCCCCAAATGCCATCTCCTGTCCCCTGTGTCCCTCTGCCCCACCCCCATCTGTTAATGGTTCTATTTTGGGAAGAAATGAGCCTGGAATAACTTTCCCTGGGTCCTGGGTCTGAGCCTTTCCAGCCCCTTCTGGTTGGCCCCACTGGCTCCCAGGCCCTTGCCCTCTGGATAGGCAGTGCTGGGTGACCTCACAGATCATCAGCGTGGCAGGAGATGTGATGTCACAGGGTCTTTTTGGCTCCCAAACTGCACGGATTCCAGGCCTCCCTTGGGGCAAGAGCACAGATTGCTGCTGGCAAGCTGGAGCTGAGGGTGTGAGGAGCTGTGGACGGAATGTTCCTCTGGAGGCTGAGTCTACATTTTGCACCCTCCTGCCCCCCAGCCCTGGGCTCAGGCTGGACACCTCCAGTTCCCAGCTTTCTCCTCTCTCTAAAAAGCAACCCTCAGACACATTTTTCCCCCAGCCTAACCTCCCTGTTGGCCACTAACATATCCTACTGTGTGATCCCCAGGCAGGGGGATCCCCAGGGGCCACCCCCAAATCCAACACATGCTCCTCCTCAGTGCACACCTCAGGGAGGGGTGGCATGTGCATGGGGAGAGCATATGTGTCTGTTTTGGGGGAAAAATGAAGAAAGGATGTGCAGCTTCCCTCATACACCCTGTGGTTTCTAGCTAATTTAGGAAGTTCTCTCTGATGTCTGATGGTAGTCTCCTACTGCAGCCCATTTCCCACTCTTCCTAGAGAAGTGCAGGGAAGCAGTCTTGTCCTTCTGATGACATGAGGCCAGGTTCTGCTGCAGTCGGCCTTTAGGGCTCAGAAAGCAGGCTCCCCATTGAATGAGAGAGACTGGGGCTGTGAAGATGGCTCGGTGGGTCAAGTGCTTGCCATGTAAACATGAGGACCTGAGTTCAGTCTTACCACCCTGTAAATCCAGGCACAGTAGTGTGTGCTTGTATTTCCAGCACTGGGAGGTGAAGAAAGAAGGATCCCTAGGGCTTGCTGACCAGCCAGCCTTGCCAAATCAGTGAGTTCCATGTTCAATGAAAAAATGAGAAAAACCCTGTCTCATATAGAGAGGGGGAGGGGGAGGATAGAGGAAGACACTTGAAGTTGACCTCTGGTCTTCACATGCATTCACTAGCATGTATACACACACACATACATAGACACACACACACACACAGGCGCGCGCACGCACGCATGCGCACACACACATAGAGTGAGACCGAGAGATGGCCTGTATGAGATGTAAGGAGCAAAGTTCAAATGCCAGCTCTCTACCTCTGGGTGCTGCTGTGTTGTTGGTCAATGCTAAGTGTGGTTGGGTGTCAGGGAAGAGAGTGACTGTTCATTCCACAGATACTTCTCAAGGGCCCACAGTTCCATGCTCAGTGTGGGTGTGGCTTATATTTCAATGAAAGGCAGTCTCTAAAGGATGGTAGTAAGTAAACTAGTATGTTGGAATCAAAGTAGTCTAAGAAGAAGAAAAATCAACCAGGGAGTGTGTGTGTGTGTGTGTGTGTGTGTGTGTGTGTGTGTGTGTGTGCGTGTGCATGTGTTTGAGGTGACAGGGCCCCATGGATCTCTGAAACTGCTACTCCTGAGTCCTTAGCTCCCTAGGAGCTTCCTTGTGGTGCCTCTTGACCTGGGGCAGCTTTAGCCAACTTTGCTCAGCTAGGACCAGTTCCTACGCTTTTCCATTCTCAGGTAGACTGGGGCTGGCAATGATCAGTCCCTGAGAACTGTGGTGGAGGGGGTGCATGCATTCTGGATTGGGGTTGTGAACTCCACAGGGCAGCCCGGGTGTTTGGAAAGTTTTAGGTCCTCAGAAGGCATGTGGGCCAGTGTGTTGAAGGCATCTGATTGCTGGCGAGTCTCCCCTGTGACTGGCCTCCAGCTGGCAAGGGAAAGGGGCGGGGGCAGAGGGGACAGCGCTCAGATGATCACTGGCAGGAAGGGTGTTTCTCCTGCTCTGCTGAGGCCTGTGGTTTTTGGTTTTTTTTTTCACTGAACTCAGGCTCTGAGAGGACTGGACAGGGGTCTGGGTGGGGCAGGGTAGGCTTCCACATGGCGGTGAGAGGGTGACAGCAAGGGCTAGTCTGGCGGGAGCCAGGCACTTCTAGCAGGAGACATTGACTCCATTTGCTCAACATGCAGCCTCCCCAGGTAGACAGCAAGGACAAGCAACCTGCTCAAGGTCACCGAGCTAGTTAGCAGCATTCAGGGTGTGGGCCAGGCTGTCTGCCAGTCAGAGGCTCTCATAGTCATTCAGGACCCTGTTGGAAATGCACATGGCTGGGTCCCTGTAGCATGTAATGACTCCAGAGCTCTGATCCAGCGGGATACTGGCAGCCTTTCAGGTGGTCACAGCCTCCGCTGGGGTGGTAGATGGAGCCCTAGGGATGGTGGGGAGGTGGGCCTGGCTTAGGAAGCTCTTCTTCCTCCTTGTTCACTCTCCTGGATGCCTTTAGGAGGAAGCCCTCGTGTTGACTGGGGTTGAGGAAGGATGGCTGGGTTGATCTAGTCACACACATTTACTGATGGCTTACTTCTCAGCCCTCAAGGCCCCAGGCATGAGGGGGTTTCTACTGGGGTGGTAAAACTGTTGCTATGACTACTTTGGATGAAGGAAGACTAAGAATCCCAAATCAGATAGTGGTTAGAGAACACAACGTACAGGGTCAGGTTAGACTATTTCCTACAGAAAGGAACAAATAGTGGCCACAGATGTGGAGGCCAATTCCGCTTGAGGACATAGTCAGGTTGAGTTTCCTGGAGGAAGAGGCCCACCAGCGAGGAGGACGAGCCTTGATTCCACAGCAACGTATGGTGTAGAGTCAGCATGGGAATGCAGAGAGTTAGAGGGGAAATATTAGAGTTTGTGGGGACCAAGGGTAGGACCAAGAAGCCACTGGAGAGCTGGGATTTGGGCTGAATGCTGGCAGGCTGACCCTGGGAGCCCGCCTCTTGGCTTCTCTTATAACTTCTATTTTTTTGTGTGGTAGGGCTCACAGGCTGCAGTGGTCCCTACCTCCCTGGGTTCTTGCCCTGGATAGACAGAGCAGGGGTGAAGAGCTCTGGCTTATTAGAGCACATACACCATATCTAGTGCTCCCTGTTCCATACTGAGGGGTCCAAGGTCCACACTGTCACCTAGCATGGACCCTTATTGAGGGTGGAACTGAATGGCTATGGTGCTAATAGGATTGTGTGTCATTTTGCAAATACTGCCTCTCCAGCTGGGGCCAGCTGGGTGATATCTGAGTATTGGGCTGGTGTTGCTATCCCTTCTGGCCACCAGCCTGGGAGGCATCTGTGCCGGGACCTCTGTGAGGGTCATGCTGTTTTCTCCTTTTATCCTCAGCCCATCACCACGGAGAGTGCACCCAAGAATGTAGTGGATGTGGTGAGTGACAGCGGACAGGCTGGGCTGAGTGAGGAGTCTGGAGGTGGAGGGAAAATTGGAGGTGGAGGGGCTTTGGGGAAAGTGACCCATGTAGTCTGGACCTCCTTCTGCAGTAGATCCAGGGACCCTGTGGGGAGGAGGTGCTGGTGACCTTGGATTCTGTGTCAACCATGGGCTGCATGAGTGAGACTGACAGAGGGAACCGTGTGGAGCTGTGGAGGGAGGCCAGTGTTAAGTATGCAACAGATATGCTGAGTGGCTCTTGAGGCCTGTAATCCCCACACCTAGAAAGCTGAGGCAAGAGGGTTGCCCTGAATTCTAGGCCAGCCTAGGCTACATAGTGAGATCTTTTTCAAAAAAGCAAAAAAGGAGGGGGTGGAGGTGGGATGAAGCCTGTTTTATAAGAGTGAAGACCTGAGCTTGATCCCCAGAACCCACATTAAAAATTTTTTGAAAAAGTCAAGAGTGGTGGCATATGCTTATAATCCAAATGCTGGGGTTTACTGGCCAGCCAGCTTAGTCTATTTGACAAATCCCAGGCCATTGAGAGACCATGTGTCAAAAGTCAAGAACTGACCTCTGGCTTCCACATGTACCCCCATGCATGTGTACCTGTACATACATGAACATGCATCCACTTACATATATACATACAGAAAGAGAAATAGGGAAGATATAGGAAAGCCAGGCAGACATTCCCACCAATCTTTGGGACTGCATGAGCAGAGGGTTTCCTCCAGGCTAGATGGAAGAGGAAGGGAGGAATGTGGGGGAATTCCATAGTGGGGAAACTGAGGCTAGCCACTTACAGGGGTCTGATGGAAAAGGACAGCTTGAATTCAGGGGCTGGAGGCAGAGGACTGTGGAGCAATTGGCCTCTGCAGAGGTCCTGGCTGCATATCAGCAGGTGAGGTGGGATCCTGTCCCAGTCCTCAGCTCTCTCATCTTCAAAGTGGAAAAAACAGTCTCCCATGGGTGGGCACAAATGAGACAGTTTGTCTCTCCCTGAGGGAGGCCTTGAGTGGACAAAGAGGTGTTCAAGTAATGAAAGTTTCCTCTTGGACCCTCTGCTCTCCTTTATCCTCTACCCTGACCCCAGCAGATGGCAACTCTAGAACCTGCCACTGTTATCTTGTATCCTTTCTTTGACAACCTCTTCTTCTGTCTACAGGGGGAAGGAGTCTGCCGGGGTGGAAGCTCTCGGAAAAGCCTGGAGGAAGAGGACGTGAGTGTGAGGAGAGTGGGGAGAAACCTGGCTTGCCAGGGGGATGAAGAGGAGGTGGGCATTCTCAGACCTGGCTTGTGCCTGCCTTCCCACAGCGCCTCTCTGGAAGGCAGGCCTTAGCTATAGTGCTGCAGAGAGAACAGGTCCATTGAGTCACTTGTTGGGCACAGGCTTGGCCCTGGTCTTCATCAGTGGGCCATGATAGCTCTGCATGTGGAAAATAAGGAGGCTGAGAGCTGGGCTGACGGAAGGGCAGTCTCAGATAGAGCAAGGGGAACAAGCAAGCCACAAGCTGAGATGAAGTAGCCCTGAGCTCTTAGTGGTGTCCCTAGATCTTGGACACTGTTGGAACTGCTTCCCTGAAGTCTTTAGGAATGGTGAAGGCTCTGTGGGGCTTAACTGATTCTGATCCAGGACATTGCAAAGCAGTTCTCTCCTCCTGGTTCCTCTTGCTTTGGGTTTTATGGGGGAGAGCAAGGGACAAGTCCTTTGAATGGAAGGAACCCAGGTAAGGGCACAGGAGCCTCTGAGTTCTGTGGGTGGCTGACTTGGCTCCACACCCCTGGCAGACCCTATAAGAGGGACTCCTTACCCCTTGGGGTCTTCTCTGCGACGTGCCCCCCTCGGCCCCCTCTGTCCACTGTATGCCCACAGAGGAACAGGGAGTGGTTTTGGCGGTTGGCACAGGGGGAGCTGTTGATGGCATGAGGCCCTATCATCTGACAGCTGCCTGGCCTCTGGTGGGGAGGGCCCCACAGGGAGGGGCCGAGCTGCAGCAGCTCCCAAGGGTGGCCCACTGACACTGCGGCACCACCCTGGGTTGCTGTAGGCCCAGCCCTAAGGAGTGGAGCTGCTTGGACTCCCAGGTTGAGGGAAGGATCTGTGGAGGTACGTGAGGATTCCTGTGAGCCAGCACAAGTTCGTGATGCTCCTGAGCTTGGGTTTGGGGAACTCAGTTTGGTGTGTTATGGCCGAGGATGAGCTAGCTCAAGACACATCCAGCTATATGTGCTCAGTAAATGTTAGCCAATCTTATTGCCGTTATTTCTTTGAGTTGGGCTGGGAGGTTGTAGATCCTCATGATGGTGTGTGGCAGATGCTTCAGCCCCATTTTATAGATGAAGAAATAGAGGTTTGAGTGACTCCTTGCATACCTCTGGGTATGGTGTCTTTACCCTTGGCCAAAGAACAGGGTGATAGCCTGTAAACTCAGACTTTAAGCTGATGTCCTGGATGTATTTAGAAGCTGTGTCGTAAAGCTGCTGACCCCTGTATCTCCACCCTGGACCAAACTATAGAGAGCAGGAGTAGGGTTAGCAGGAAGAGCTGTGGACCCCGAGGGCATATATGACCTTGGTGGTATGGAAGCAAGAAGTGGCCACTTTACATTTGAAAGCTTCTTGTTTTTTTCAAGAGAAAGTTTTATTGATGTGAGATGAGTGTTGCCTGCATGTGGTCAGTGTGTTAGGATCCATCAGGGTGGTGCTTTGTCTGGAAGTGGGAGGAGAAACTGAGTCTGCCTAACTGTGAGGAAGGCCAGGAGTACAGCAGATTCTAGAAGGATCTGCCTGCTAGAGTAGAAGACCACCGTAAAGCTCCTAGACTTTTGTCACAGGTTGTGACTCAGGGTTGCAGTGTGGGTCCCTTGGCTGCCTGGGGCACTCACCATCCCCTGGGAAAGGGGAAGGAAGACTGGCTCAGAGGCTGGCCTTCTGGGGTGTTTCCTGCTCTGGTCTCAGCTGGGAACTCTGGCTCAGAAATGACTGTTTCCTCCTGTGGAGCTGGTGTGCAGTGGAGGCTGCAGACTGTGTGCTGTGTCGCACTTTGTTTTGGAAAAATCCAGGCTGGTGGGCAGGAAAAGGGGAGGAAGGGGTGTGGCTGCAGGGGCCTACATGGGGGGCTTTAGCACAGAGGCCATGCAGGAATGAGGGGCTGCCTGACCAGACCCCTAGTGTTCACTGACAGATCTTCTTCCCACTGGGCCCCTGGGGACCTAGGTTCAGGAAGCTGCTTTCATTTTTTTTGGTTTTATTTTTATGTTTTTTCCCCCCTCTGTCCAGAGGTTTTTTCTGTTTGCTCTATAGACCTGAAAGAGAGGCAGGACTTCTTCCCAAGCCTTTGCTGCATACAAGCCCCTTGGAGGCTCAAGGTTTCCCGACTTACTGTGGCTATGATGGGGAGAGCAGGAGGTGGCACATAGCAGAGCCTGGGGGGTTGCAGACCTTAAGCCATCTAGGAGATTCTGAGCCATGGTCAGCTCCTGCCTGCAGGGAGGACCAAGGAAAAAAGGAGTTGTCCCACTCTGCAGCAGGAAGAATGAGGGTTAGATAGGAAGAGGGACATCCTGACAGTGAGAAAAGTAAGACAGTGTTTTGGGGCGTCTGTGGAATCGCCTTTCATGGTGCCCTTTTGGTGAAGGAGAGATATGTTTGGGAGATGAGGATAAGGGAGACTTCTGTTTGGTGCCTAGGGAGTTGGATCAAAAGTTCTATTATTGGTCTATCTTGGGAGGAACTAGGAGGAAGTTCAAAGCCACGTGGGTTAAGAGTTTTGAGATTCCCCAGGGAGGAAAAGAATGGGCTTGCATGTAGACGGAGAGCTTATTTTTCTTTTTAAAATAAACTTTCCCCAGGGGCTCCAGGTGGGGCTAGTAGGAGATCTGTGAGCCCTGTGTTGTACCCATTTTACAGATGGATATATGGGTCTGAGCCACTAAGCCCCCCATTGAATGGATTGACCAGTACAGAGTGAACATGAGGCCAAGACTTCTCTACTCTGCTCCTAGGTGCCTAGAACACTGCCAGGCACATAGCCAGGTCCCAATGAATGTTTAACCAATGAGGGAATACCCACCATGAGGGTGGCACCAAGCTGACTCCAGGCCTTTTACCCTGCCAACTCACAAAGAGCTTTCTTTCATGGCTGGACATGCTTCCAAAGGTGCTGTCTCCAGTCATGTGCATGGGCCATCTGGGCTGACTGGAACATCAGGAGGGGTGTGTTTACTCCCAGCTGCCCCCAGCCCCTTGGCTGTGCACAAATAGCCCCCATGCAAACCTGCTCTTTGCCAGCAAGGGTCATGTGTCCCCAAACATTGCAGAAAACAGGAAGCTCCATCAGTGTGAGGGCAGCCCAGACCTGTGATTCATCAGGGGGTGACAGTCCAGCTGTTGGTCCCCAATCCCTGCCCAGGGCAGCTTTCTCTGTTCCTTTCTGCCCCAGCCCTGCAGCAGAGAGGGGCTGGACCTCTCTTATCACCTCTGGAGGCCTCTGGGCCAGACTCTGTTTGGGCCAAGTCTTTATTTATCTTCCAGTCTTTGGGGCGGGAGTCAGGAATGTGGAGTGTTATAACCTTTGCAAGAGGGTGGTAGGGAACAGGACTGGGAGCCTGGTCTCTGTGTCCTGTGCATCTTTTGCCTTGAGCTTTCTGAGGCTCCCAGCAATTCCTGTCTCCCTAGTGCCCACCCCGCCAACTTGACTCAATTGACCCATTGTCTCCTCCACAGCTCCCTGTGCCTAGATCCCTGATCTTGGCCACACCACAAGCCTTAGCTAAGTTGTGCCTTCCAGTTGTTCGAAGCAGCTGTGGTGGCTTCCTCCAGGAGTGACTGTGGATCCACAGCAGATGAAACCCGAGGGGCTATTTATAGCAGGGTGGCCCTGGGGCCTGGAGTGGGTCCCAGTGCCTGGGGAGAGTCAGGGCCTCCTCATCAGAGACCAGTGGAATGAGATGGATGAAGTGTTGGCTTTTTGCATGCTTTGGGGTGGGTAGTTTTGGAAAGGACTGGTTTGGGGTTTGAAAACAAACACCCCTGGTCCCCGCCTCCCTGCCCCAGGGCCTGACTCATGCAACCCTGAGTCCTGGGGCCAGAAGAGCTGAGGCTGAGAAGCATTCCTCTCAACAGACAGCCTTGCTTGGCTGTTTTTCCCCACTGTGAGCTCCACAGAGCTCTGAGGCAGCCTGGTGGTAGCAGGGTAGCCAGCCCTCCTGCAGGCAGGGGCCTGATTCTGCACTTCATGGGAGCTGGGCTTCGGAGCCCCCGACCCTGCCTACCAGGTACCATACTCTCCTTTTGGGGCCCTGTGGCCAGGCACAGGTCAGAGTGCGAATCCTGCTTGGTCATCAACTTACCAGGGATTTGGGGGTGAGTCACCCTGTGCCTTAGTGTCCTTTTTATTGCAGACTGGTCTTAATGCCTCCAAGGGGAGACTGCCACTTGGTGGCCAGGAAAGGTGACATCTACTTCTGCATGGAGCCAGGTGGTAGAGGAGGTGTCAGCTGCTGGGGGAGAGGAAGGCGGATTTTGATTTTCCATAGGATGTTGGTCCCTTCCCTTTCAGTTGATTTTGATAAAAGAGCAGCACTTAAAACAGCAGCTGTCATTGACTGAGTGCCAGGCACTGTGTGAAGAGCCTCATATACATTTTTTTTTTTTTTTTTTGCATACCCACGCACGCTGCTAAGGGTTGTCCAGTCTTGTGGTGACATTCCACCAGGCTCAGCAGGTTAAGCAGGATGCTGGTGCCCAAAGCCACAGTCTGTGGGGCTCGACTCTATGCTTTCACTGGGTGTCACCCTGTTGCCTTGGGAGATTCAGGCCACGAACTTGAGTCTGTTTAATTTCATACAGTCTACACCCTGGGCATGGGGGCAGGTGAGACAGGTTAGCAGATAGATCCTTAGGAGTCTAGAGCTCTGGGCGCCATTTATAAATTACATGCTGTGCTGTCTCAAACTTTTCCACTGATTGAATGACTCAATGATGTGGCTTTAGATGAGGGGAGAATGAGGGGTGGTAGTAACAGAGGATACAGGTTTAGAGCTAGCCCAAGGGCAGGCACTCTTGACATCTCTGTGGCATTTGTGGTTGCTGGCCCTCTGTGATCTCTGCCTGAGGTTACTACCATGATGCCTGGTGAGTCAGGGTGAGGTGAGTCTTTGCCAGTCTAGGGACTGTTGGTTAGCATGTGCAGGTGTGCTAGCCAGATGGTCGTGTGTCTCTGCGTTGGATATTTTTCCTCTTTATTCTTCTGGGCCTTGCACACAGCAAGCTCTTTTGACTGTGGGTTGCTGTGTGACTGGGGTGTCAGAGTGGTGGGGATGGAGTGGTGGTCAAGGAGAGGGGTGAGGATCTGAGTGTGGCCATTCCCTGGGCCTCTCTCTGCTGTTCCTGTGTCCCCCTTCCTGTAATGCTGTCTCCTCTCTTTTATAGCGCTCTGCAAGAGTCCTGCCAAGTGTCCAGCCACAGCCACAGCCCATCAGGTATGCCTGGCATACAGGAAAAGGATGGGGATGTGGGCATTCTTCTCAAGCCCTGCCCTGGGTCCTGAGACTGATACTGTAAGGCCCTAGTGAGAGGCTCTGGATGGGAAGCCCTTAACTGCAGTCATTGTGTGTTCCAGCATTGAGCCAGACCTTGAACTGAATTCTTTATTTACCTGCATGAGCTCATCAGTTTTTGCAATGTCCCTGAAGGTCTGTGTGTTGGCAGATGAGTTGCTGAGTGTCCATGGTGACTTGTTCAAGGCCACACATTACCCAGAAATGGTACTTAGGACTGGCTGTCAAGGCCTGTACCGATTCTTTCTTTTTGGATAGAGTTTCCGATGATAGGGAATTCTTTGTAGAAGGACTGCTCTCCATACAGGAAGGGGGATGCCCTAGACTCAGGGCCTTGTCCATCCTTAACATGCTCTTGCTTCACTTTCATCCCGAGGCTCCCGAGATACCTAAAGATGCCAGTCCTGATGGGTGGCTGGAGTTCCTGGTGGTTGTAGCTTAGCCACTACCTGTTGGTAGACCAAGGTACCTCCTTTAAGGATCCTGCCTGTCTGTCCCCTGCTGCTGGGAGCAGATTTATGGCTGGCAGGGATGGAGTACAATGCTGATCTTGTCCAGCTGGTGGTGGTGTTCTGCCTTGGCATCCTTTCTGGGAACCAGCCTGGCACTAAAGCTAGTTCAGGCTACCTCTGACTTAGGCCCATCACCCCCTTGGCTGCTCTTGTTCCCTGCCTTGCAGAGGGAGAGGCTGGAAAGATAGGGGCTGGGTTTAGGAGTCTTTCTATCGAGCAGTGCCTTCCCTAGAGCTGAGACCCAGGGACTATGGAGCGTGGAGGGCACTCCAGGTCACCTTGGCCCCCTGTGGAGGGTGCTCCAGGTCATTCTGGCTGCCTGTCTTTATATTGTATCAGTATTTGGGCTAAATGTGCAGGTAGCTTTGTGTCCTTGCCCTTGGGTACTCAATAGCTTGGGGTCATAGCACTGCCCCACCGACTACCAAGAGAACTTTACCATAGGGCCAAGGAGTGGTTGTGTTTCAGGTCCAGCTCTAACTGGGTTCCTTGCCCCTGGTTCTTGGTCTCCCCATCACTTGGTTCTCTGTCATCTCAGCAAAGAAAAGCCGTAGGCTGTCCTTGAATTTCCCTCTCTCCACACCCATACACACACTTGTGCCCACGTCAACCCTCTGGATTTTTCTAGGCTCCACAGTGCCTCTGGAGCTTTCTGTCACTAGGGCCAGAAAGGGTCTAACACTAAAAGTCCTCCAGTCTCAACTTAATGCTGTAGGGAAGGTTAGCAGAATGGAACGAGAGTGTTGCTCACTTTGGATAGAGAGGGAAGCCATTCTAGGAGATGGTTATGGGGTAACTTGTGTGGGGTGAGGGGGAAGGAGGTACCCCTAGTGGGCAACTTGGGCTCCTCCTCTGGTAGAAAAGCAGATGTGTAAATCTGCGAGCTCTGTGCTCCCCTCACCTAGCACCTAGGAGAGGGGCAACTGCTGGCCCAGGGGTTCTTAGGACGCTGGGTGTCACTGCAGCAAAGACCCAACAACCTCTCACTTCTCTTTACCAATGAGGGAGGCCTGGGCTAAGAAGGACCTTTGCAAGTGTTGGGAGAAGCCAGAGGTAGAGGAGCGGCAGGGACAAAAGGGAGGCAGGGGTCAGGCTACCTCAGGGAATAAAAAACACATCTGGCTCTGGGTCAGCCCCTTCCCCAGGGAGGCCTCCTGTCCTTGTACTTTGGAAAGCAAGGAGATGGCCAGGGCTCTGTTCTAGAATGCTGGGGAGCACTAGCCAAGGCACTCTTTCCCTCTTCTGCATCCTCCTAGAAACTTCTATCTGACTAACTGGCCACAGTGTGTTAGATGCAGGGCTGGGCTCCTCACTGGGAAGGCCTGGCCTCTGGCCTCTGGACCACAGGTTGATGAGGACTGAGACTTGCTTTCTTCTCTATTTAGTACGGATAAGGTCTCAGATTCTTACTGCCCTGTGCCCAGCTTGATGTCTGGTGCTCTTGGCCACTGTACTGGCTTCTCTCAACTTGGCCTCTGGCCTTGGCATTTGGGCAGGGGCTCAGCCACACTCCCTGGCTGGATATGTGGCCCATGCATGGTGTCAGGTGCTGACCTGTGAGCCTACCCTGGAGGCTGGGTTGTAACTTGGATCCCTCCTCTACTCAATCCCTCTAGAAACATGAGCGTGAACCGTGCCATGGAGGACAGCTGTGAGCTGGACCTGGTATATGTCACTGAGCGGATCATCGCCGTGTCCTTTCCCAGCACAGCCAATGAGGAGAACTTCCGCAGCAACCTCCGAGAGGTGGCCCAGATGCTCAAATCCAAACATGGGGGCAGCTACCTGGTGAGTAGGCTTGCTCTTCCTCCTGCTTGCCACCTCTGCACCACGAGTCTCTGCCCACTCCCCATGCCAGCGCCCCTGCCCTTGGTCACCCTGGGCATCCTGTAGAGTCCATACCTTTACTCTCTCTCTGAGAGTTGATCCTCAGGAGAACATTTGCAGTGGAACACAGTGTCTGGAACCAAGTATATGTGAGTCTGTGTGTGCACATGTGTGTGAGTTATATGGATATGTGAGATTGCATGTGAGAGTGTGTGACTGTGTATGTGTGATTGTGTCAGTGTTCAGATGAGGAGAAAACAAGGACACAAGTTCATGTTGCTGAGTGCACACCCCAAGCCAGGCCCTGTGCGAACCTCTTCACCTTCTAGACAGCCCAGGAGACAGACCTGCGCTCAGGATGGCAGAGCTGCTATTGGTGCCTCTTAAAAGCTCTGGGACACAATGTGCAATTTTGGGGACCTTGTGACTGGCCTAGAGAGTTACCAGATGTGGGGGAGTGGTTGGTAGAGATCTTACTGCAGGAAAGTGGTCTGTCCTGGGGGAAGGGCTCTGGTCCATGTACAGGAAGGTGCACATGACCTGGACTGCTGACCCAAAGCCCTTGAGTGCTGCCTGAAGCATTTAGTGGGCCTGGGCTGGAGGAGACTGCATGAAGGCCCCAGGGCTGCTAGAACATATGGCCACACACTATGTAACTTAAAATGACAGGAATGTTTTGTGCCACGTGTTCTGGAAGCTGGGCATCTAGGTGGTATCCAGGTGGTGTCCAGGCCATACATACTCCTTTGAACCTCAGAGGGATAACAACTAGGCATTCCCTGGCTCATGGCTACATCACTTCATTCTCTGCTCCTACCTTAACATCGCCTTCCCTGTCTGTCTGTCCTTTCCTCTGGTTATAAGGACATCAGTGGTTGGTCTTAGGCCCTCCCTGAATCAGGGATGACTCCTAATGAGACCCTTAACTACTTAATGAAAGCTGTACCCCAAGTTTGATTGAATTCTGAAGTTCTGAGTGACTATGCATTTGGTGGGGCACTATTCAACCCACTGTAGAAACCTGTCCATCGGTTGTGTTGGGGTGATATAAAGAGCCTGGCTTTAAACATCAGAAAATTCTGCATTCCCATTCTGGCTCTATGTTGACTGAATGTTTAATCTTGACCATTAGTTTCTCTGGGCCTTAATTTTCCCATCTGCAGAATGGGGCTAGTATTAATTTCCTCTTACGGCTATTAGAGAATGAAGCGAGCTGAAAGATGAAAAGTCCTGAGTGTGGGACTGGTAGGAGGGAGTGGATATCACTGAGTGGTAACCATTAATAATGTCACAAGGCATATTCCTTAATGGTATTGGAAGTGCCTGGGATCCTCTGACTTCAGGAGTGCAGTATTCTGGGATTATGTTTGTCCTCTGTCACCCCCCGCCCCACCTTCTGCTTACTCCAGTGCCTGTTTTCTCTCCTCCGAGCAGATGACAATGACAACACAGCTGCTATTGAACTTCCTGGTGACAGGGTAGAGGCAGGCAATTCTGAATGCAGGAGACAGGGTGGTCTCCAGGGTGTGGGTAGGCACCAGGATACCTTGCACCCTGTGGTGGAAGGGCTCCAGGACAGAGCAGCAGCATCATGAGGTACAGTTCTAAAGCCAGAGGTAGTTACCTGCTGTTACTCGCACCACTGGGCTGGGCTCTGTCCCCTCTCATCCCCAGTTCATGATGTCCATTAGCAACAGCTCAGTGCAGCCCTTACTTTTCCTGAGAACCTGTGGCTGATCTGTCAGCCAGTGCGTTCAGTGGAGGACAAATTTCTGTCAGGGAGAGGGGCAGAATGACAGCAGTGACAGGAGGCCAGGAGCTGACGGCTGGCCTGTGCCTGGGCCCCTGGATACAGAGACAGTTAGGCTCTATGGGCTGTGCAGAGGTCTCTTTAGAGGAGCAGGAAATGACCAGAGGCTCTCCACTTCTTCCTCTGACTCTTCCTGGTCTCTTCCTCTGTCTCCCTCTAGCTGTTCAACCTCTCGGAGAGGAGGCCTGACATCACGAAGCTCCACACCAAGGTGAGTGGTGACTGTTTTGGGGATCACTTAGCCCGGCCTGGGAGAGCAGGAGAGCAAACACACTCCCTCCTGTGTAGGGCCATGACAGTTCTAAGTTCAAGGGCATCTCACATCTGCAAAGTGGACAATAACATTGATAGTTACCATGGTACCAACTCTGGACAGTTCAGTGTGACACGTGGCTTCTGACCTCATCTGCCCCAGAGTGAGAACATAGGGGTATCTGGGATAAAGCTTGAGTCGTACCTCTGTGGTAGAGGCTCCTACCACCAGGGTTTACTTTGTTTGCTTGTTGAGTCATGGGAGACTTTTCTGGGGACCTTGGCTCCCATCCTGGATTCTGGTGCTTGTTGCTGTGTGACCTCAGGCAGGCGACAGACTTCTCTAGGCCTCGGATTGTGTCTCTGAAGGTGGATATCTGGCTTAGGAGTGTTCTGTGGGCCCTGCCAAGTAGGGGGGCTCCTTGCCTTCAATGTTCTGTGAGGTTAGAGAGGGCTTGAGGAACATGGAGTCCTGCTTCTGCACCCTCAGACCTCTCTCACAGACCTCTCTCACAGGCTCTGAAATGGACAGTCTTTATGTCCAGGGCTCAGAGAAGAGCTATGAACACTAGGGAGCCTTTATCTTCCTCTCTCGTCCTGAATCAATCAGCCTTGGGCTGGCCATGGAGGGGAGCTGGAGGGCTGGGCTTGGGCCCCTCTAGGGGTGTGAGTTCACAGTCACACGCTGTGCACCTTGGAGTCTTTGCTACACACCCTGTGAGGAAGCTGGGCCTGAGGCTTTACTGTGAGCCCAGATCCAGGATCATGGCCTTTGATCTTCACACCCTGCCTCTCAGCAGGACTGGTGACAGGGCAAGAGCTGTGGCTTGGTGCTGGTAGCCAGTGCCATGCTGCCCTAGCTGGCTAGGTAGAGTCCCTGAGTCTTCCTTTTCTTATTTCTCCTGTCTGGGCTATAGGTCCTGGAATTTGGCTGGCCTGACCTTCACACACCAGCCCTGGAGAAGATCTGCAGTGTATGCAAAGCCATGGACACTTGGCTCAACGCAGACCCCCACAATGTGGTCGTTCTCCACAACAAGGTCAGAACGTGGCTGTGTGTGAGTGTGTGCGCGCGCGCGTGTGCGTGCGTGCATCTGTGTGCTTGTTGCTGTTGTGACCTCAGGCAGGCAACAGTTCTTTGGGCCTCGGACTGTATTTGAGTATATATGTATATGTATGTATGCGTGTGTGTGCACTCCTGAGTATGTGTGTGTATATGTATGTATGCGTGTGTGCACTCCTGAGTATGTGTGTGTATATGTATGTATGCGTGTGTGCGCACTCCTGAGTATGTGTATGTATATGTATGTATGCGTGTGTGTGCACTCCTGAGTATGTGTGTGTATATGTATGTATGCGTGTGTGCGCACTCCTGAGTATGTGTATGTATATGTATGTATGCGTGTGTGTGCACTCCTGAGTATGTGTGTGTATATGTATGTATGCGTGTGTGCACTCCTGAGTATGTGTATGTATATGTATGTATGCGTGTGTGTGCACTCCTGAGTATGTGTGTGTATATGTATGTATGCGTGTGTGCGCACTCCTGAGTATGTGTATGTATATGTATGTATGCGTGTGTGTGCACTCCTGAGTCTGTGTGTGTATATGTATGTATGCGTGTGTGCGCACTCCTGAGTATGTGTATGTATATGTATGTATGCGTGTGTGTGCACTCCTGAGTCTGTGTGTGTATATGTATGTATGCGTGTGTGCGCACTCCTGAGTATGTGTATGTATATGTATGTATGCGTGTGTGTGCACTCCTGAGTCTGTGTGTGTATATGTATGTATGCGTGTGTGCGCACTCCTGAGTATGTGTATGTATATGTATGTATGCGTGTGTGTGCACTCCTGAGTCTGTGTGTGTATATGTATGTATGCGTGTGTGCGCACTCCTGAGTATGTGTATGTATATGTATGTATGCGTGTGTGTGCACTCCTGAGTCTGTGTGTGTATATGTATGTATGCGTGTGTGCGCACTCCTGAGTATGTGTATGTATATGTATGTATGCGTGTGTGTGCACTCCTGAGTCTGTGTGTGTATATGTATGTATGCGTGTGTGCGCACTCCTGAGTATGTGTATGTATATGTATGTATGCGTGTGTGTGCACTCCTGAGTCTGTGTGTGTATATGTATGTATGCGTGTGTGCGCACTCCTGAGTATGTGTATGTATATGTATGTATGCGTGTGTGTGCACTCCTGAGTCTGTGTGTGTATATGTATGTATGCGTGTGTGCGCACTCCTGAGTATGTGTATGTATATGTATGTATGCGTGTGTGTGCACTCCTGAGTCTGTGTGTGTATATGTATGTATGCGTGTGTGCGCACTCCTGAGTATGTGTATGTATATGTATGTATGCGTGTGTGTGCACTCCTGAGTCTGTGTGTGTATATGTATGTATGCGTGTGTGCGCACTCCTGAGTATGTGTATGTATATGTATGTATGCGTGTGTGTGCACTCCTGAGTCTGTGTGTGTATATGTATGTATGCGTGTGTGCGCACTCCTGAGTATGTGTATGTATATGTATGTATGCGTGTGTGTGCACTCCTGAGTATGTGTGTGTATATGTATGTATGCGTGTGTGCACTCCTGAGTATGTGTATGTATATGTATGTATGCGTGTGTGCACTCCTGAGTATGTGTACTTGCCTGTGTGTTGGGATTGTATGAGTGTGCTCATCTATCCGTTTGCATTTCCCATTCTAGAACATGATAGATTCTGTCTCAGGGTGTGACTCCAGGAAGTGGGGACAGCAGCTTGTGTTACCCGCTGAGGCTGGCTTTTTGGTCTCAGTTCCCTCTGCTTCTGTGCCCAGTGTTCCCTTCCTTCTTTTGCTTTCTCTGCACCCACTCCTGACTCCTAGGCTTCTTGGATAGGCTTTGGCAGCGGGGCCTGTTGAAGAGAAATGATTGCTTTCTGCTTCTTTCAGGGAAACCGAGGCAGGATTGGGGTTGTCATTGCTGCGTACATGCACTACAGCAACATTTCAGCCAGGTGAGAGGTCGGCTGTCCTCCATCCCAGCTTCTGTGTTCTGAACACTGACGCTGTGACACCCTTTCCCCACTTCCATGGTTTCCACCTTCCCTAAGGTGGGAGGATTGGATGGAAGAGCAGGAGGGGTGAGGGGTACAGGATCCCCTGGTGATGGAGAAAGTGCTTTCCCCAGCTGTGAGGTAGGATGGGAACAGTTGGCAGCAAGGAGAGCTATCCCCTCGGCAGCTTGGGGGTCCACTTGTCCTCACTTAGCTGCTTTCTGTTTCCCTGGGTGAGCTAAGAAGAATCAGAAAGAGATGCCACTTAGGAACTGGGCCCAGGGAACCATCTGGAACTTACCTTTGGTCAGCAGGGCCCTCTTCCTGCCTGAGTATTTGGGAGCAAGAATAGAACCAGCCAGTGTACAGATTTCATTCTGACACCACTCAGCACAGAGGTCAAAGCTTCCCTCCTCATGTGCTTCATCCCGCATGGTTGCCCAGAGGCTGCTGTGCCTAGGTTCATGTCATAATGATGCTGGGCAGGTTGCAGAGGGCACAGCCCAGGCTCTGCCCCTGAGGACCTTAAATTTTAAATAAATTTATCAGCAGCAACAGCAACATAAGCAGCCAGGGTCATCTCTGTGAAAGTGTAGCGACTAGAAGTGGGTTGGGGATATGTGGTCAGCGCCACCTGTGGCCATAGGAACTTAATGGCTTCCTGTAAGGCCTGGGGGAGGAGCTGTGGATAGGGATGGAAGGCCTGGCAAGTGTGGAGTCAGAGAAGATTTGAGGTAGACAGGGTAGCAGAGAGCAGTAGCCTTGTGGACCTCAATGAGGACTTTGAGTTTACTGTGTGATGGAAAGTCACTGGAGTGTCAAGAATAGGGGGCCTTGTGATCTGTCTTGTTACTTCGGCATGGCCTCTATGTGCTTGGAGGATAGGTGGTGGGTTGTATGGAGGGCATGGGAAACCAGCCCAGCCTTGTATCTGCTGAGTGGGGACCCTGCCTAGTACTTATACACCTATGGATACCAAACTCCTAATGGGTCTAACCTCACCCTCCTTAAAACTTTGAGGAAGGGGCAGTTGTCACTCTTGTTTGGCTGTTAAGGGAAATGGTTTTATGGGAAGGATTAAGTCTCAGGGAGGCCTAGAGATGAGCTCCCAAGCCACCTGGCCCCAGAGCCCCCGGCTGAGCACTGTATCATGCTGATGGAAGGTTCTGGAGCATACCCTTCCTGAAGGCTTCTCAGTGCAGCATGGCTGGAGGAGGAGTCTGTCTTCCCACCAGGACCAGGGCTGGCTGGAGGACTCTGTAGGCCAAGGGGCACTGGTATAAGGGGACAAAGGCCCTTGGGTGTGGAAGTGGGGTTCTCTGACTACTCGTGTCTCCCCACAGTGCTGACCAGGCTCTGGACCGGTTTGCAATGAAGAGATTCTATGAGGACAAGATTGTACCTATTGGTCAGCCATCCCAGAGGAGGTGGGTACCCTGGGCTGGTGGCCTACTATGTGCATGCACTCCCTGTGGCGGGACTGGCCTTGTGTACTCATGGGATGGGCAGCTGCTTAACTGAGGGTCTATCTACCAACTCGGAGTAGCGTGGGCTTGGATAGGGACACCACAGGTTGGTATGTCAGTTGGCTTCTGAGGCCTCTGAAGAAAGCAGATTGTTGTGGTGGGGCTCTAGATTGTGTATGTATGTGTGTGAGGGGGCATGTACCTTTGTAAGACACTTGTTGTTCTTGGTCCTGGAAGCAGGATGGCTTCAGTGTGTGTGGATGAGTACACAAGACACTGATGTCCCTGATGCCTGTCCTGGGAAGTCACGAGCACTATGATAAAGGGTACCTTCTCTTGGGAGAATTTATCATACTTTGCTAAGGACCCAAGCCACATGGTCTCATTGGAGTGTCATAATAATATCTGGGCCAGGATGGCTGACTGGCTGCTTGGCTGGCTGGATTCATTCACTCACTCATTCGGCAACATTGGGGAACTCTACTGTAGCTGTAGGCACTGAGGTAGCAGACTTCTAATAGAGCAGCGTCCCTTTCTAGAAAGAACTGTGCCACAAAGAGACAATGCCAGATGGGAGGGAGGGCGACACATACACACACACATACACATACACATATATGGGGGAGAGAGGGTGAGAGAAGAGAGAGAAGGGGTAGAGGGGAGAGAAAGGAGAGAGAGAGAGAAGAGAAAAGAGAGGTCAGGGAGAGAAGACAGGAGGGGAGGCATTACTACAGAGCAGAGACGTGATGCTGGGAAGGGGCTATCTCCATGGGGACAGTCTGGAGTCTCTGGGTGGAGGTGATATGGAGCCCTAACTGGGACAGTGGTGATGGCCTGGGGCATCCTCCTTTTACAGATGAGAAGCCTGAGGCAGAGTGGGGATGAGGCCAGAGGCCACACTGAGCGGTGGCTGAGCTGGAATGTACACGCAGGCCCAGGGAAGCTTGTGGGCCAGGGAGGTGCCCAGCTGTGCTGCCCACCACCTTGCAGGCTTCTGCCCACTGACAGCATGTGGTTCAGTGGTATCTGACCCACAGGAGGCCAAGGGCAGTGTCAGGGTCAGCTAGTCATGAGGAGGCTGCAGCCGTGCCAAGTCCAAGCCCACGCTGAAGACCTGGAGTGTTGGGACTCGGGTCCTCCTGGTATGGCTTCAAGTGGTGGGCCTACTGCCTTTCTGTGCTGGGTCAGCACCACTGTCACTCAGGGGACAGGGTGCAGAATCTGTCACTCAAGAGCTGCTGGGTACAAGCTTCCTGTGAACAATTGTGTGTTCATGAATAGAAGATTATTCCAATGCTAATAAGTGTTTTGAAGGAAGTTCAAAGCATGACTGCTAGAATTATGTGGTAGGCAAGGGGCTGGTTCAAAGCGACATATGACATGGGTTAGGTCTGAGTGGGGAGCTAAAGTTGGTGGCGGGAAATCTGGGCAGAGGGGACAGAAGGCATGGAGACCCAAGGCCAAAGCTTCTACCTCCCCCCAACAACCCACAGACTTGCTGGGCCAAGCACTGAACCTGCACACACGGGCCTGGCCTGCACACATGATTAGTATGGTCACCTTTGATCTTGAAAGATACGGGCTGCTAAGAGACTTGACAGTTGCTATGGCCTGCTGTGGCTTGGAGAAGGTGAACTGAGCAGCCACTGCAAGATGGGCAGAGGAGACCTAGAGAACAAGGTTCTCCAGGCTGCACGAATGGCTGTGCCAAGGGCTTCTGCTCAGGTCTCATGCTATGCAGTCTGCATGTACATTTTACCTGTGTGTATTAGTGGTGTCTCCCCACAGCTCCCATCTGTCACTGCTTCTTCTGAGGGTGGGGGCGCCCTCTCTGCCCACATAAGAAAGTGCAGCTGTCAGTTTCCGGAACATTCTCTGCCACTTTCCCCAGCTGCCTTCTTGTTAGTGTTGCTTATAGGGAACTGGACGGTTAGAAGAGAGGAAGGCAAGGAGCAAGGGGAGGGGCTTTGCATATAGTTCCCTATTCTTTGTCACCCGCCCTCTGGACTCATTGTCCCCAGTACACAGACACATCCTGTTGGTCTGCTCAGGAGATCTGATGGGAACCCACCATTCCAGGTTTCCGGTTTAAGTAACGGGCTGAGCAGTGCCCTGAATAGGAGTAGGCGCTGCCCATCAGATTATCTTGCTAGGGGAGGCTGAGGTGGCCCCACCCAGGTCCAGGGACAGAAGCCCTCAGGCCTGGAGGAGGGCCAAAAGATTGGGGGTGAGGGGGGCTGTTGTCCTGGTCTCACAGTCCTCCTCATGGAGCTATTGGCTCTCTTGGAGTGCCAGGCTTCATTTGATTGGTCTGTCTGATTCAGCCTGGTGTTCTCTAGCAATCAGAAAAGGAGGAAGTGTTGACCAATCAATAGCAAAAGATTGACTTGTGGTTCAGGATACACTGGAGGCAGGCTTCTCTCCTGCCCCCTCTCATCCCCTGCCTTGTCTGTTCTTGCTGGGTGTGACCACCCTTTCTGGATCTGATTTTCCCTTTCTGTTCAGAAAGACAAGAGGCCAGGCCTTCCTTTCTACCAACAAGATCTTTGTTAAAAAAAAAAAAAAAATCAGGAGATGTTGGGACTGGTGATGTAGCTGCCTAGCATGCATCAGGCCCTGGGTTCAATTCCTAGCACTAAAAACAAAACAAAACAAAACCAAAACAACCAAAAATCCCAAACAAGTAAATAAACTATAAGCAACCAACTAACCCCACAAACCAACCTAACAATAGGATACTTAGTGGAAGTTAATTATCTCAAATCCAAAATGAGTAAATTAATGTAGAGGACTAATACATTTCACATGATATAAAGTAAGTCTGTAATTATTAAGTTCTTACTGTTTGTTGGGATGACTTCCAATTGTTCTGTGTACAAATCTGGATTTGTTTGCCTTTCCCTCAGCACCTAGTATTGCTATCTTCAGGCCCTAGCACTAGATCATTTCAGAAGGTCTCTAATAGACTTTACTCACTACTCTCTTTTTAAGTGTGTATGTGTGTGTGTGTGTGTGTGTGTGTGTGTGTGTGTGTGTGTGTGAACCAGGGCCTAATGTAAGCTTGGAGTGAGTATAGTCATCAGCTTAGTTTGGCTCAGCCAGGCTGTCAGGGGTGTTTGGTTGGGCAGCCCGCCTAATGCAGATGTGACCTGCTAAATTATGCCTGCCAGTGATGTTGGTGTGGTTCCCAGGCTGGGAGTGAGATGAGAGAGAGAGGCTCATGTTCATCAGTAGGGGGCACCAGAGAACGCCAGTGGCTCTGGCTGTAATCTCAGGTCTCTAATACATTCTTTTCCTACTGGGGCTCTGAGCAAACCTGGAGGCCTGCTGGGCAAGATCTCAGCTAGGAGCCTAGGTGGCCTCCAAGGCTGCATGTGTCTTCGGGGTGGTGTTCTTGAAAAAAGGATGAATGGATGGAGAGATAGATAAATGTGTGCATGGATAGATGGAGGGAGAGATGACTGTCCTAACCCTCCCCTGAAGCCACCGTACCCCTATACAGGTACGTGCACTACTTCAGCGGCCTGCTCTCCGGCTCCATCAAAATGAACAACAAGCCCTTGTTTCTGCACCACGTGATCATGCATGGCATCCCCAACTTTGAGTCTAAAGGAGGTACCTGCTCCTTCCCATCCCTCCAGCCCCCATCTCCTATGCTGTGGAGTTGTCAGGCTTGTGTGGGGTGCTCAGCTGAGCCCAGGGACCTGAATTCTATTCATCTGCAATGTGGGGCTGACATCTAGCACTATCTAGTGGCAGACACTGGAGGAGGCGATGTTTTAGCTAGTAAAAATGTCTTTGAAGTAGAAAGTCAGTATTTCTTCTTCTTGCTTCCCTGTTTCTATTTTCTCCTTTTCCCTCCCTGTGTTCCTCATCTCCCCAATGATTTCTGCCTCTTAGCTCACAACTGCCCTTCTCTGACAGGATGCCGGCCATTTCTCCGCATCTACCAGGCCATGCAACCTGTGTACACGTCAGGCATTTAGTAAGTAGTCTGTGTGAGCCAGGATGGGCCTTGGGGCAGGAGGAAGGGCAGAAGTGAGCATGTTCCCTCAGTAGCACTCTCCCTCATCACCTTTCTCCTTCAGCAATATCCCAGGAGACAGCCAGACCAGCATCTGCATCACCATTGAGCCAGGGCTGCTCCTCAAGGGAGACATCTTGGTGAGTGTTGCCCTCCTCCTTAAGTCTCCCTTGTCTTGTCCACCCTGGGGACATGCAGGTGCTCCTGGAGAGCTTCTGGACTTGGAACTGTGGCCTCCCATGGTTCCTATAAGCTCTGCTAACCTCCCACAGTCAAGTACCTTGTCCTTCGTACCCCCTACCTTGGACTGGGCCTTCCTTTCCTTTCCTGGCCTTATCTTTTGTTCTGGGACATCTCCAAGTAACTACCACTCATTGTGAACTGTGATCTCCTGGCTCTCTCCTGGTGACAAGACGCTCCAATTCTAACCTCAGTCCTGCCTGTTGTAGTTCAAGGCTGCTTTACCTTTATCCATTCTTACCTGTACACTGGAACTTCTAAAGGACATTTTCTTACAAGTCAAGATTCCCTCTCCCCACCACCTCTCTGTTCTAGAAGTTTTCCCAGAGAGCTCTGAGATCTCATTTGATGTCAGTGATCTCTCTCTCTCTCTCTCTCTCTCTCTCTCTCTCTCTCTCTCTCTCTCTCGGGTTTGGGGTGATCCTTGGGTCTCAACCAGTGCCAACCAGGAGGCTTCTGTGGACCTGACCTTCCACCCTCTGTCCCCTTTCTACCCAGCTGAAGTGCTACCACAAGAAGTTCCGGAGTCCAGCCCGAGATGTCATCTTCCGTGTACAGTTCCACACCTGTGCCATCCATGACCTAGGGGTTGTCTTTGGGAAAGAAGACCTGGATGATGCCTTCAAAGGTAAAATAACTGGGTTGGGCAGGGTGGGGCTCTTGTGGCAGGTTAGGAGTACAGTGTGAGGGTGAGTATGGGGCCATCTTTTCTGAGCCACATGGTCTGCCTAGTCTTGGAGTGGGGGCGTCTTTGTGACAGTGGGAGAGAACTGAGAGAGAATCAGGTCAGGGCTGAGATTGGACTGGTCTAGGAATTCAAATTGTAGTAGAAACTGAGAAAAATTCCTTCTGGTCCTACTCCCCTGGGTTGATTTGTGTCTTACACCCCTTCCCTGGTGCTCATCCCAGATCTCCGTAGGGTCCCCATCTCTGGTCCCTATCCTTCTGACCATTGACAGTTCTTCAGCATTCACTGAGCACATGTCATGGCCTAGGCTTAATAGGAATCAAAGTGAAATGACATGATCTCTGTGTTGGTGGAGCTAAAAGATCTCAGAGAGGTAGCCATGGCAGAGACAAGCATCCCATAGAGGGGGGCACAAATGAGGAGGGATCGTAGCAGTGTGGAGGCTCCCAGGGGAGGCTGGGGCCTTCAGTCCATTTAAGGCTCTGTCTGTACCACATTCAGGCCCAGTGTGTACAGATCTATATCTTTATCACACCATCCATCCATCTAGCTATCCATCTGCATATTTATTCCCTTACTCACCTGTTAATACACTCATTCACCCATCTACCCATTCATCCATTCGTCTACATATATACTATTTTTAAAATAATTTACCGAGAATTTCATACATGCCTATAAGGTGTTTTGATCAAATTCATGCCCACTTCCTCCCCTCCAGCTCCTCCCATAGCTCCCCATCACTTTTTTCTGATAACTTTATATACTCTTATTTCTTCTTTTCTTTTTTTATGAGGCTTTTTGCTACTCTAACATTCCCCCCTCTGAAGAGGTAACCCTAAAATCTTTAAAGGATTAGATAAAAGCTCTCAAATACTTTAGACATTTTTGGCCTTTGGAATGGAGTATGCTGCCAAGAGGCCCAAGGACATTGTGAGTTTTAGCCAAGAAACTGGATACTTTTCTCTGGGGTCTTTTTACCCTAACTGCTTAGCCAGTTTCTACCTCCTATTCTTATCACGCCATCCTCTGAAGAGGTTACCCAACTTGTGGATAGGGAATTGGAATGCAGACTGCTCTGGTTTCTTCCATGCTGAACAGGGATGCAGGATGAGGCAATTGGGGTACCTCTTCAGTGGGTCTATCTAAAAGACTCCCAAATT